ATTTTATTTATTTATTTTTTCCCCCAAAGCCCCAGTAGATAGTTGTATGTCATAGCTGCACATCCTTCTAGTTGCTGTATGTGGGATGCGGCCTCAGCATAGCTGGAGAAGCGGTGTGTCAGTGCGCGCCCGGGATCCAAACCCGGGCCGCCAGCAGCGAGCGCACACACTTAACCGCTAAGCCACGGGGCCGGCCCCATACTCTTGAGAACCACCCAAGAAGCCCTATTAATTACAGAAACCTGAGCTCCTCCCACCTGGACCTGGTGAGTTAGAAACATCCGGGGATCTGTTCCAGTCCTGCTTCCAGGCAACCACAGACACTGCAAGTAGTTGCCACTCAACACAAACACGTACACACCCTCCTTCTTAGAGCGGCACTTTGTTCCTGACATACTGACATCTACCTTACTTTAAATATTCTAAACTCATAATTCATGGGCCGGCTCCGTGGCTTATCGGTTGAGTGCGCGCGCTCCGCTGCTGGCGGCCCGGGTTCGGATCCCGGGTGCGCACCTACACACCGCTTCTCCGGCCATGCTGAGGCCACGTCCCACATACAGCAACTGGAGGGATGTGCAACTATAACATACAACTATCTACTGGAGCTTTGGGGGGAAAAAAATAAATAAAAATCTTTAAACTCATAATTCACAAGTATTTACTGCAGGTCCATGAGGTATATAGATGGGTTCTGCCAAGATCTAGCAATAGTTGAAAGAAATTATAAATCATGCCACTACTTTCTATTACCTTTTCATCAAGGTCCATGAGAATCTGGGTTGGAAGATGAACTGCTACGTATAAATCTGAGGTTGGGGAAATAAAGGTAACCCCGTGTCATAACTTTTCTGAGTTACCTAAGAAACTTCACCACACACTATCATGTACATGGGGGCGTAATTAGACACAACATATAACTGAATCTGTGGAACAACAAATGTCTGTGCTCCCTTCAGTATTTTAAAAACAAATACACATAGGGCCGGCCCCGTGGCTTAGCAGTTAAGTGCGCGCGCTCCACTACTGGCGGCCCGGGTTCCGATCCCAGGCATGCACCAACGCACCGCTTGTCCAGCCATGCTGAGGCCACGTCCCACATACAGCAACTAGAAGGATGTGCAACTATAACATACAACTACCTACTGGGGCTTTGGGGAGAAAAAGGGAAAAAAAAAGGAGGATTGGCAACAGATGTTAGCTCAGGGCTGGTCTTCCTCAGCAAAAAAACAGGAGGATTGGCATGGATGTTAGCTCAGAGCTGATCTTCCTCACACACACAAAAAACATACACGTATCAGGAAGAAGTGAGAACCTAGTGGTTTCCCACATAATTTTCAAACCTAACACTTATTTCTGTTTTGGTCAGTCAGCATTCTTGATAGGGTGGGGTAGATGAAATATTTTCACAGCTAAAACTACTGTCTTTATACCAGTTGTTCCCAAATTTCTATCTCCAGCTAATTGCTAGACTTCCTCTTTCATAGAAAATGATGAGGTCTAAAGGCCGTGAAATCTCAAAAAAGACAATCACACAGTAGGGTACCATTTTTTTCCAACTTTTAATGTATTTAAAAATTAACATGTCCATTAGAAAAAGTTTGGAAGGATATATGCCAAGATATTAACAATGATGGGGATTATGAGCTACAGACTCAAATATCTAGCTACATATTTCCATCTGGATGGCCCAAACATATTTAAAACTGAGCTCATCTTTACACCCGACTCCTACTCTACTTACCACTGAAACCTGCCCTTCCTCCTTACCCCCAATATAGGGTAAAGGTGTCAACACCCACCCAGTCTGCCAGGCTAGAAATCAAAGTTCAAAACCCTTCATTTGGCTTACAATGTGCAGCTTACATGCCATTTCCTCAGGGAAGCCTTGTTGGATCCCTCAGACTAAGTAAGGCCCTGTGGGCTCTGCTTTCACAGTATGTAGCCTGCTTCCTTCACAGCAAAGCTGTCACATTTAAGCTGAGCATTCTTGATCTCTCTGTGCCTCATTATTCTCATCACAAAACAAGCATGTTAACAAAGTGGAGAATTTATCATTGTTAAGTGTTTAGAATGGCGCCTGGTACATAGTAAGCAGCCAATCAATGTTAATTATTATTATAGTTGTAGTAGAAGTTAGGGCTCTTTTGAGAGCAAGTAACAAATAAAAATTAATAATTACTGTATTGTAATTATACAAACAAGTCTTTGGAAAGTCATAATAATTTACTCAGAATCTGTTAATGGTATAGTTAATAACTATTAAGGTAGACCGGAAGCTCTATGTTGTAAGGACCATATCTATCTTGTTCACCCCTCTAGCTCCAAATTTCTTACAGAGCTGGGCAGAGGAGGTGTTTTTTGTTGAGTAAATCAGTGAATTTTAGATTTGACATACCTTCACCCACCAAACTCTGCGACTTCTGTCTCCTAAATAGCACTCAGATCTTGTTCCCTCCACCCCAGTCTTCACTCAGGCTCTCATCACCCCTCTGAAGTGATCTATCACAGTAGTCTGCTAACTGGTCTTCCCGCCAAGTTCTGTCTCCCCCAGTTCATCCTCCACAGTGCCGCCAGAGGGAATTTTTAAAATGTGAATCTGATCCAGTCATTACCCTGTCAAAAGTCCTTCAACGAACACCCAGTGCCTAGAGTAGCAGTCTCCAGAGGAAGGTGGGTGCATCCCCAAAGGGTTTGCAATAATACCCATGAGGGTGTGAGAAGAAAATATTAAAAGCTCTGTTTTTATTTATATAGCAAACACTACTAAAACTTAATTTATTTAATATTGGTACTAGGATATGTACATAATATTTTGGAGGTACAGGCTTAAAATTTAGCCCAGTGAAAATTAGTTCTGTGGAAAATATTTCACTGAAAGGCATGTGTTATCCAAAAAATTAGAGACCACAAGCCTAGAGGACATATAGTTCCTTCAGGATCCTTGCTCTCTGCCTACTCCTTCAGCCTCATTTCCAATGAGGGTATGCTCCCTGTGGACACTCTGCGTTTCTCCGAGCCTTTGCCTTGTGTTTACAACGACCTTCTTTCCCTTGTCATCCTGGAAGATTTACCTAGCGGTTCACTCTGCCTAGAATAGAGTTCTGCCAGATTGCCACAAGCCTGGCTCCTTTATAGATATCAGGTCTCGGCATAAAGGTAAGCACCTCAAAGAGACCCTCCCTGACCACCCATCTAAAGGACACCCCTTCCCTCCCCCCGCCCCAGGCTGTCATGCTCTATTGCTGCACTGGCTTCTTATCACAGCATCCACCATACTTGATAATTTCTTCTTTAATTATGTGTTGATATGTTTATTGTGTTCTTCCCCACACTAGACTCCACGAGACCAGAAACTTGCCTGTCACGTTTACCATTTCTCCTGTTTCTAAAACAGTGCCTGGTACTTAGTAGGCACTTAATGAATGATTGCTGAGTTGGACTAAATGAAAGGATGAATCCTTTAAGACTTCGCAGAAGGGCTGCCTCCTCTCTGAGGTTTTGATTTTCCCAGGAAGAATTGTTCTTCCGTTCCTCACTGAACTGTTACATACCTCTCTTACAGCATTCACCAGTGTCTCTCCCCACTTGATCATGGTCACTTCAAGGGCATGGACTGGGTCTTATTCATCTTTCTATCCCCAGTGCCTGGCACAGTGACTGACAACACCTGACAGGGACCCACTGAACGTTTGCTGGATTAATAAATGAAAAACCAAGCACAACTCTAGCTGACCTTCTCCCAACTCTGCTGCTTCTAATTCTGGTCTACTTCTCACCTAAATGCCCAAAAACTAATTTTACAAGAAAAACCCACCTGTATAGGCAAATCACTCAACAAAACAAAATAAAACAGAAAGTCTGAAAAGTTACATCTTGAAACAGGAGTGAAAGTAGTTTTATGGCTCCAGGCTTAGCCTGCCCACCTCACTCCCACTTTTCTCTATGACATTTTAAAAATTCTCTCCACTTCCCAATTTACTACAGGAAGTTTGCAGGGACTCTTACGACCTAAGGGTACAATTTCTAATAATATGCTCCCTATATAAAGAATTCCACTCTAACACAACAACAGTATTTGGTATTAGCTAATCTCCCCCAATTGGTTACAATGGAGTTTGATATGAATTTAACTCACACTTGTTTATCAAGGCCCCTTAGATTATGTCGTATAACACACCAATCATAACACAGGATGAGCCAGAAGCCACTGAAATAAAGGAAACGCTATACTCACTTGTTCCGTCGGGAACAGGGTATTGATATACTCCACAGCATTGAAATCTGCTCGATCTAGGGGATCCTGGCTTGGAAATACCTATACAAAGACGGGGGATTAAAAAAGCTGTCACCTTTCCATCTTGTTTTATGTATTATTTCTCTCCTCCCTACTTACTACTCCCTAGTAAATTCTTTGAAGACAAAAACCATATCTCTTTTCATTTTACAAGGCTTAACACACAACAGATGCTCAATAAAACAGCTGTTAAAGTAACTCTTTAATTTTCACCAAAATCTGTAATTTTAACATCTTGGTGCAACTAACAGAATGTGCAACAGTGAAAAGTTCCACAGACATCAACAAGATTCCAAGGACAAGGAAATATAAGCAGGCATTGTGCACTATCAGATTAAACCAGCTGATGACATGGTTGTATTAAGGAAGTCTTGATGACAGACTTATGCTCCACGTCTCAACGATGTCTCTGCAGGAGAATTCACTATGCATTGAAGCCATTTTTGTGCTTCAGACAGTGTCAGGAAATGGAAAGCTGGCATTCAGGAACTGTCCATCTCTTTAACAGAAAAAAGAATGCTGCCTTCTGAGAAATACAGCTAACTCCCTTTAAAAGTTGCAACTTGGGGGCCAGTTGGTTGCGTAGCGGTTAAGTGCGCGCGCTCTCCGCTTCAGGGGCCAGGGGTTCGCGGGTTCGGATCCCGGGTGCGCACCACTTGTCAAGCCATGCTGTGGCAGCGTCCCATATAAAGTGGAGGAAGATGAGCACAGATGTTAGCCCAGGGCCAGTCTTCCTCAGCAAAAAGAGGAGGATTGGCATCAGATGTTAGCTCAGGGCTAATCTTCCTCACCAAAAAAAAAAAAAAAGTTGCAACTTGAAGAACATGTAACAAGGTGGATTATAAAAACAGTCAAGTGATCCCCTGGGTACTGGATTTCACCGGCTCAAGATAGTTATTCTGGGAAGCAAATTCTTCTCTGGTGTCGGTTTATTAGATAAACCTATGCTAGAATTCAATTTTCTTAATAAATAGCAAAAATGTATTCTTCTAAAATCCTTGTCAAACAATAACTCACTGCATTATTTGTTTCTTCAGTTAGAACCCACTAGGTCCAAAGAGCAAATGAAATGTATGTCTTGGGCCAGCCCCTGTGGCCTAGAGGTTAAGTTCCCCGTGATCCACTTCCACGGCCCGGAGTTCAGCTCCCAGGCGTGGACCTATACCATTCATCTGTCAGTGGCCATGCTGTGGCAGCGGCTCACATACAAAAAGAGGAAAATTGCAACAGATGGTAGCTCAGGCGAATCTTCCTCAGCAAAAAACCAGAAATGTATGTCTTTTTCTGGCAGATGGAGGTGGGTGGGGAGCAGTGTGGCCTGAACACCAAAACCTTTACCCAATGGTCTGGCATCCTCAGGATGTGCCAAATGTGCCCTGTATGGATAATCCAACCACTCCTAGAAAAACACACATCCAAAAATCTACAAATGGAACAATACAAATTACTTAATATAGTGGCAGACCCACAGTATTAATGCTCAATAAATATTAACTATTGGCAATAGCAGTAGTAATGTTTTACTTTGAAAAACTTCCCAGTGGTCAGTAAATGTGACACAACCCTCCTTTTCTTAAATCATATCCCCTACGCCAATTCCTTTAAGAGAGATTTTCTCCCTTTAACAGGAACAATACTCTGTACAAGGGTCTAAATCACTATTTCTAATATCATTACTCTTAAAAACTCAATAAACTTGAAAAGAGAATTTAGTCATCTAAAGAGTCTCTGCAGGGAAGGGAGGCCTCCTGGGAATATTCTTTAACCTACCCCAAACTGATCAGCAGCAGGAATTTTCAACCATTTAAGTATAGTAAAGGGGTCCTTTCTCAACTCTTTCCCCTCTGCTCTGTGATCCGCTTCAGAAATTAAAGGTACCCCCTCCTCTAAATTCCGAGTCACTCACAAGGAGCTAGTTTGAGAATCGAGAGCAGTGGCACACCAGCCTGGTAAATAAATGAACCGCCCTACAACCCCCCAAATCTGAGGTTGCTACCCATGAAGTCCCTTCTTCTAGGTCCATCCTTTCAGGGGGCACAGGTCCTTTGCCCAAACCCATCAGGACGCCCCACCCTCCAAAGACAACCCACGCCTAGAAAGGGCTCTCTCCCTTCCCCAGATTCAGAAGCCTCTTCCCACCAGAACCTCCTCTCAAGCCTTTCCTTTCCCTTCCGTGCCTAGCTCCCCACTCTCAACCCAAAGACCGCTTCCTCCCGGTCCAACCCCAGGTCCCTCCCCCAGAGCTGCCCCATCCCCCGCACCCTCCTCCTCTCTGGGGGCGGAACGCTCACCTGCTCGATTGCGAGTTGCACGTCAGGCGTGAGCTGCAGCACGGCTTCCAGCTCCTCCACGAACTCCAGTTCCTCCTCCTCCATCATCCCACCGCCCAGCTTCCTTCCGACGCCCACCCCAACCCCAACTCGGACCTCCAGCCGTCACCCAAGTCCCAGACCAGCAACCCTCGCGTTGCAGCGCTCAGACAAGACTCAGCTCTGTCAGCCAGCCGGGCGCTTCCGGGAAGCCGGGCACTTCCGGGATCCGGGGCACTCTGGGATAGCGGAGGACTGACCTCTGGTCGCCCGGAGGAGGCATTCCTGTCACGTCCCGGGAGTCTCCCCCGGCAGCCCTGTAGTCCGACAGCCCTTGCCTGCCCTCAGCTCTCCTTAAGATGGTGGGGGCCCTCTTCGCCTCGCCAGAGGCGCCCCCCACTGAGGGCCCTGGTGTTGAGGAGGGCCTGGCCGCCCCGGCAGGACCCCCCGGTGAGGGTATGCCCCGGCAGCGTCGAGACCCACCGACAGCCCCCCTCACGGGCTGCGAAGCCGGCGATCCTTCAGCTGCCAGGGCCCCCTTGGTCAATGGCAGTAGGTGTCCCCCTGCCATCGGGGAGAAATGACCCCAGCTGGTAAGTGGCGATGGTGCCAAGGACAATTTGTAGGATGGGACAGCGTCCGCTTGACAAAGTAAAGTTCCCCTTGTGCCATGCCTCTGGGCAGAGTTTTCTGGGGGTGTCTGCAGCTTCCTCCTTGGCGGAAAAAAAAGAGCCAGATTAAGCAGTGCCCCGCCGCTGGGAAATGTTTACTTTCTATCTGGAGTCTAAGTCCCATTCCACGACTGTATGATCTTGAACAAAGTACTCCACCTGCTGGACTTACTCTGTCAGGATGTGGTGAGGGTTAAATACAAAAAACGCTGTGCAGATTTAAGCTGGTAATACAGGTGATATTAGGGTGTCTAGCCGTTATGCACCACAAAGGAAAAAGAGGCCAGATCACCCTGTGGAACCACTTTTCCTCTAGACACTTAAAACAATGAGAGAATTGCAGCCAAGAGAAGAGCTGTTTTACCAGTTAAACATTGAAACTCCAAGATGGAAGAGTCTCTGGCCCATTGAGATTTTTTTTTATTTTAAATTTTATAAAAGTTGTTTGTAGTAAAGAAAAGATGGGAGCAATAGCATTTCTAACAATAAAGGAAAGCTTAAAAATATAAATTTGCTATACAATAGAATATTATTGACTCATAAAATCATGGTTTTGAAAATTATTTAATGATATGGAAAAAATGTGCTTAATATATTTCAGAAAGCAAAATGTATATTTCAGAAAGCAAAAATCCACAGCATGGTCCCAGTTTATGTGTGTGTATATTTTCTCCCTGTAAAAATGATAGCACAGAAATACCACTTTTCTGCAGGTGATGGAATGTACATTCCTTGTACATTTTCCCAAAATGTCTACAATTAGCCTGTAGTACTGTTATAATTAGAAAATATAAATGCCTTTTTTTAAAGGAAAAGGTAATTATATCTACCTGTCTTGGATGTTTTTTCATTTTTTACATTAAGAAATCATTTCCATGCAGTAAAATTCACCCTTTTAGTTTATAATGCCATGAGTTTTGATAAATGCATATAGTCATGTAACTACCAATACAGTCAAGACCTAGGACAGTTCCATCATCCTTCCAAAGTTCCTGGTGCTCCACCCCATTCCCTGGCAACCACTGACCTTATTTCTGTTCCTATAGTTTGACTTTCCCAGAATGTCACAGAAATGGAATCATACAATATGTCACCTTTTGAGTCTGGCTTCTTTCACCTAGCAGAATGCATTTGTGTTTCACCCATGTTGTTGCATATATCAGTAGTTCATTTCTTCTTGCTGAGTGGTATTCCGCAGTATGGATGTACCGCAATTTGTTTATCCATTCTCTGATTGAAGGACATTTGGGTTGTTTCCGGTTTTGGGGAATGATGAATAAAGTTGCTGTAAACATTCCTGTGCAGGTTTTTGTGTGAACACAAGTTTTCATTTCACTTGGGTGAATATCTAGAAGTGGGATTGCTGGGTTGTACGGTAAATCTGTGTTTAACTTGGTAAGAAACTGGTAAACCATTTTCCAAAGTGGCTTTATCATTTTTGCATTCCTGCCAGTGATGTATGAGAGTTCTGGTTGTTCATAGAGCTTATTTTTAATGATGATAATAATAACTAACATTTCCTAGCCCTTACTATATGCCAAGCACCATGCTAAGCATGCATTGTCTCTTTTAATCCACACGGCAATTCTGAGATTGGTAGTTATTATCATTATCTCCACTTAACAGATGAGAAAATGGAGATGTAGTTAAAAACAAAAAACTTGCTCAAGGTCCCATAGCTAACTCTTCCTGTCATTCATTCAGTCATTCAGTAAATTCAATTCCTGTTCTTCCTGCTGGTGATAGGCACTAGGCTAGGTGCTGGGAATTTAGCAATCAACAAAATAGACCAAATGCCTGCCTCCAGGGAGCTATTTCCTTGTATGAAAAGGGTATTCATGCAAATATATTATTGTGATAAGTCTATTGAAAGACAGGTAAAGCATATGTTGAGACTATATTAATAGTGTTCTGATTGGATTTGGGGGTCAGGAAAGGCTTCTCTGAGGAAGGGATTTTTCAGCTGAAGCAAAGAGTAGGGGCTGGGAAGAGGAGATGACAGACAAAAGGAACAGTATTTGCAAAAGCCACGAGAATTGGCCAGAGTGATGGGACTTTGAATGCCAAGGGGAGAACAGTACAAGAAGAGGCTGGAGAAATAGGCAGTGCCAAATGGTGGAGGCTCTTGAAGGTCATGTTAAGGAACGGGAAGTCTGGGAAGGACTGTAAGCAGAGGAGTGACGTGACCGGGTTTACCATGCCCGTCGTCAACCCTAGTCCCCTCATTTTCGTTTTTTCTGCTTCTGAGCAGCCTGCGTTGTCGTGGAGAGTCGGGAAACCAGGGTGACCGTCTCCAGTACACATTCATACTGTCCAATTTCCACTGATTGTCCTTTTATGCATCCGTTGTCAGCTCTCAATTGCATCCCCCCTGTGACCCAAACCTCTCCCTACTCTGCATCTCCCAACTCCATTATTTTCCTTCTCCCTCTTTGCAGATAAGATACTAGTAATGAATATAAGTTTGGGTTTAAGAGAGTTATACAGTACAAAAAGTGTAGGAAGATAAAAGAGCAGAGATACAGGTAGACACTAGGTTAAAAATTACATAAAGATACGTGATAACAGGCTAGACTGATTTATTTATGATAAGTGAAAGGAAGGAAGGAAATACCTTTAACAGAAGGAAGAAGCCTGGAAAGACAGAGTATACACTTTTTAGAAATAAAATATGGAAGTTTACAGATACAAGAAATTTGGGTATGAAAATAAGGAGCATGTGATAGTCTTACAAATGAGCTAGGCTTTTTTAAAAAAAACAAAACAATTTCCTTTTATGCTGTGGGATGGAGTACAGCTGATGACAAAGTATTAGAGAAAACATATTTTCTACCTTGAAATTTCACCAAATGAGGCATAAATCCAGTCTCTAATACTTAAAAAACACACACACAAAAAATCCTTGGAGCCCCTATCCTTTAAAAGGTGACAGGAAAAGGATGGATTGGTAAAGGAGGAGTCCTGCAGTACGCTGTAGGGGATTTGTGGGGTGCATCTCTGAGGACAGCATCAGAATAAAATGGAAAAAAAACAGTAACCCCCAAATGAGGAATTTTCATAATGTTTCTCATTGTGCCAAAAAAATGTAAGTATATAGGATGGAAATAGTAGTAGTTTAAAACAGCCTTGATTAATGAAGTCCAGTGAGATCTCTAAATTTCATGAGTCAATTTAGTGTTTCTTTCCAACTCTGTTAAAGGGTCTCCAGGGGCTGGCCCAGTGGTGTAGCAGTTACATTCATGCGCTCCGCTTTGGCGGCCTGGGGTTCACAGGCCCTGATCCCAGGCGTGGACCTACGCACCGCTCATCAAGCCATGCTGTGGCAGGCGTCCCACATATAAAGTAGAGGAAGATGGGCACGGATGTTAGCCCAGGGCCAATCTTGCTCACTAAAAAAAAGAAAAAAAAAAGGAGTCTCCAATATCCTGTTACATCTGCAACCAGTTTCATTGTTTTTGAAGTCGCTGTACTATAATATATTAATAATGAATAATGAATAATATTAACACTATTAATATTATTAATATTGAGCAGAGTGTGCTGTTTTATAAAATCAAGACAGCGTCTTCTTTCCATTGAGGCTTCCCTCTCCATAACAACCTTCTCCCAAACAGCTGAGCTTTTTGTGAAACTTCCTGTAAAAATTGCAGGATGTCTGAATTACCTGATCCTTACCGACTAAATGCCAGTAGTATAGCCCCTTCCTCCAACATCATGTTAACCAAAAATACCCCCTACAAATTTCCAGAACGCCCCCCAGGACTCTCAAGCACAATCACACTTAGATCCTGTTGTCACTGTGGGTAGCAAAAGCTCGCAGGCCAACCTGTAGTGGAGGAATATAGTTTAATTTCTGCATGAAATCTCATTCAAAATGTTCCTTTGGCACTCCTGTATGGACTGTTTTTAGTACACGGCTTTTCGTGATGACAGGTTCTTTTGCTGTCCTTCATTCCTGGATTTTCTGAATATCCTCGACACGCGTTTGTTCTTGATTGAAATGCAGATGGTTCTGAATGTTCCCATACCCTGGACACAAGTTTTGTTTTGGTTGGTGCTCTGGTTATCTATGCATGCCCATTCTTGCTAAACCGATCATAATCTTCAGCTAGCTTCAGCAGCTCTCCTGTTCTCATGGTCATAGGTCAGGCATTCATTCATGCATACATGCTTGTTCCCAGATGCTTTTAAATTAGAACCCTTTCCCATTGGCTGCGTTGGGTTTCTAATTCAGTAATTCCTTCACTTACTCAAAGTGATAATTATATAGGCCAAATGGCAAACCCTTTTGTACGAGTCTTACACATTACAACAAATGAAAAAAAAAACTTGTTGTATAAAATTGACATTAACTAACTAGTACAATCATTGTAACATAGATATTAGTCATTCATTGTATCTAACACCCTTAAGTAACTCACAGATGCTTCTGCCACTTCCAGCCCTGTTTCCTTGTCCCTTTAGCTCCACCTCCTCCTGCTGAGTTTTGTTGTATTCCCTGAGCTGGATCTTCAGCCGCTACTCTTCTCCTGGTCTACACCAGTAGTTCTTAATCTTTTTTGAGTCTGGACCCCTGGGAGGATGTGAAGAACTCTATGTAGATCCTTTCCCCAGAAAAATATACATTTGTACAATATTTTGAATGCAACTTTAAGGGAAGGGGGATTCCATTGAATATTTCTGAAACTTTTTTTTTAAGCCCACACCTCCTCCTGCTGAACATAAAAATCTTGTGTGATCCCTCCCACATCAATATTCTGATAAGAGGTGTGATCCTCATTCCTCCAATTTTACGATCACTGATATGCAGTTGATATCCATTCTCCACCTGCCAAGAGTATTTTGCACAGCTAAACTTTATATAGGTCTACATCAGAAAACCAGTAAAAGTTTGATTTCCTAAATATAATATTGTCCAAGAT